GCTGCTGCGGAGTGTTCTTGAATACTCTTACCTATTTAGGGGTCAAGGTACCTGGCTAGCCCTGGTCCTGGTGCCAAAACCTTGGCCTTGTCCCTGATGCCAATCCAATAACGAGGACATGGTTTTGAGGAAAAGGAAAAAGGCTTATTGCTTTGCTAGCAAAGGAGAAGCAAGGGGACTCCTGTCCCAAAGGCTGTGATTTTGCCCAGCATGGGAACAGGGGATTTTTTTTTTTTTAGAGAGAGAGAATTTTTTTTAATATTTATTTTTCAGTTTTCTGTGGACACAACGTCTTTATTTTATTTTTATGTGGTGCTGAGGATTGAACCCAGCGCCCCCGTGCACTACCGCTTGAGCCATATCCCCAGCCCAACAGGGGATTTTTAAAGAGGTGATTCAAAGAAAATGAGATTAGGGAGGAGAGATCAGAGAGAAGATCAGGGAGAAGAAGGTCAGGGAGAAGTTTGGGAAAAAGAAAAAAAAAAACATGTAAGTTAAAAAGTGACAAGAGATAGTCAAAGCATCCAGTGAGCCCCTGTTCCGGCCCCACTGGGAACGCTGGTGGTCATTGGTCCTCCCAGGAAGAGAGCCCCTGGGCGGGGCGAGGAACAGGGAGGGTGGTGGCCAGCTGCTCACAGGCCTGGGCTCCTTGTCTTCAGGAGGAGCTTGCCACCCTCCTCTCTGACCTGAAGCAAGAGCAGAAGAAGGTGGATGAACACACTGCCAAACTGGTGAACAACAGGACCCGCATCCTTGTGAGTGACCTCTCCCTTGCCCCGGCCTGGGACCAGGCTCCTCTTCTGCAGAGCCAGTCTTCTCTCTTTTTTTTTGGGGGGGGGTGGTGTGCTGGGGATTGAACCCAGGGGGCTCTACCACTGATCTACATCCTTTTTTAAAAAATATTTTTTAGTTGTTAATGGATCTTTATTTTTTAAATTTATTTTTATGTGGTGCTGAGGATAGAACCCAGTGCCTCACACATGCTAGGCAAATGCTTTACCACTGAGCCACAACCCCAGCCCCAAACATCCCTTTTCTTGAGATAGGGTCTCACTAAGTTCAGTGGCTTAAGGCTTTGCCAAACTGCTGAGCCGGCCTCCAACTTGTAATCCTCCTGCCTCAGCCTCCTGAGTTGCTGGAATGACAGGCTTTTTTTTTTTTTTTTAACCCAGGGCCTCATGCATGCCAGGCAAGTGTTCTACCACTGAGCCACACCCCAGTGAGCCCAGTTCTAATTCTTTGTCCTTTACAGAAACCCATACCTGCCACATAAAGCCAAGTTCAAAGCATTCCAGGGTGGGGTGGGAAAAGTGCAAATCCTCCTGGAGGAATTCTGCCCAGTTGTCAGGCCTGGCTCCAAGTTGTCTTTCATCCTCTGTGTCCTTGGGACTGAGATAACCCAGGGCTTGAGTCCCCTGAGATAAACTGCCCAAAGCTTGGCATGCCTCTCCTGTCCCCTGACGCTTGACCTTGACAGTCTGTCATTTTGCCCTCCCAGTAGCTGGGAGCAGAGGCCTGGAGAGGCCAGGAGCCTTGGCTCTGAATTACTTAAACTACGGGCCCTTGGGGCTGGGGGTGGAGCAGGGGCAGGAGGGCGGACGCAATCTCCTGCCTCCTTGCCCTTGAGAGGAGTGCCCTCGCTGGTGGGAGAACGCAGGGTCCATTTTCTCATGTGGACCCCTTGGTGAAGTTGTGTGTACATGTAATGATTAAAACAGGCAGAAGTAGGCCAGGGTGACCTCAGTAGTGGGGGGCTGGCCTGATATGCGGGAGGCCCTTGGTTCCGCCCAGAACCCCAGGAACAGGTGGGAGTGGAGCCCTGTGTTTGAAATGGGAGCTGGGGCTCCCCTCAGCAGCTGCTCTCCCCATCAGCCACCTCTAGGGGTCCCGGGCGCACCGTGAACTACCTGGCAGGGGTCAACCCACGTGGCCTCCAAGGCTGGCCCCAGTTGGGAAAGCCCAGGATACTGAGCCAGCTAAGCCAGGCTGCTGAGCCTCGACTCCTCTCCCTGTGACCTCCTCTCCCTGTCCCAGAATGAGTCTGATGTCTTCAGCTGGGTGATCCGCAGCGAGTTCCAGGAGCTGCACCACCTGGTGGACGAGGAGAAGGCCCGCTGCCTGGAGGGGGTAGAGGGCCACACACGAGGCCTGGTGGCCTCCCTCGACATGCAGCTGGAGCAGGTCCGGGGTGCGCGTGAGCGGCTGGCCCAGGCAGAGCGTGTGCTGGAGCAGCTGGGCAGCGAGAGCCACCATGAGTTCATCCGGGTGAGTGACAGGGAGTGTCCTGGGGCCTCCCCTCCGGACAGCCTGGCTTGGCTTCTGCATATCCAGCACCTGCCCCTCTTTGTCTTCCAGAAGTACCACTCCGTGGCCTCCAGGTAACCGGGACAGCTGTGGGAGATGTCAGCCAGGGTGTGGTGGCTGCGGGATGGGCGTCTCCTCTCCATTGGATCCCTGTCAGTATGACCTGTAGGCATCTGCCCACTCTGGCTCTGTCCAAGCCCAGGGGAACTGGGACAGCCCCGTCCTTGCCTTCAGGGATGTTGGAGATGGGAGGTGGACCAGCTCCCTCCAGCTGGGTTGTGGGGAGGAGGTACCCAGGGACTCCAGCTGCAGGCAGAGGCCCCTTGAGCAGGAACAGCCCCGGGGGAGAGTGAGGTGGCGTGTGGACTGTGGGTGCAGTGAGAAGTGCTGCTGAGCAGTAAAGTGCTGCAGGGGGACCAGGCAATGAGGTGGGGTGGGCCATGGCCTGATGGGGCCTTGACCATGAGAAGGGAGTGGATCCGGGTTCTTCGTTCCCATTAAATGAACAGTTCCCACTGTCCTGACTCAATTTTGGGGATCTCCTTGTTCTCAAGTTTTTTTTTTGGGGGGGGGGTACTGAGAATTGAACTCGGGCATCAACCACTGAGCCACAGCAGCTGCTCTATTTTCTATTTTATTTAGAGACAGGGTCTCACTGAGCTGCTTAGTGCCTCACTGTTGCTGAGGCTGGCTTTGAACTTGGGATCCTCCTACCTTAGCCTTCCGAGCTGCTGGGATCACAGGCGTGTGCCACTCAGCCTGGCTCAAGTTTCCTTAGTCTTAGGGACATTGAGGCAAGGAGGCAGGGACTTAAATGAAAGACACAGTCTGCCTGGCTCAATTTGGAGTGGGAATCCACTCCAGCTCTTGTGGGTTTCTGGGTCACTTGGTAGACAGGACGGATTCTCAGCTATCAGCACACACCAGAACCACCTGGGGGGGGGGGCAGCAGAACAGATCACGTGACCCCAGTGATCAGTTTCTGATTGGCAGGTCTGGGGCAGGGCCCAGGACCAGCATTTCCACTAGGTTCCCAGGTGATGCATGTGGCTGGTCCCCAGCCCTGCACTCTGAGAACCCTCACTGTGGAGTGTTCCCCCTTGTAGGAAGGAGGCAGGTCCAAGAGGGAATGGTGGGCACTGTGAGGGACTCGCCTGGGGGTTTCCCACACTGGACGAAGGGTAGGCCCATCTTGTGACCTGTTGCTCACAGAGCAGAGCTCCAGCAGGCCCGGCCCCTGGAAGGCTCCTTCAGCCCCATCTCCTTCAAGCCGGGCCTCCACCAGGCTGACATCAAACTGACTGTGTGGAAAAGGCTCTTCCGGAAAGTTCTACCAGGTGAGGCTCTACCCTGTCCTCCCTGGGGACTTCCACCAGGGCTGGCAGCATTGCACTGACGAGAGCACCTGTGCTCCAGAGAGCTGAGGGATGGTCTGGTGGGGCAGTGGTGAGTGGGAGCCCAGCTGGCCCGGACTCCGGGTTCAGGGCTCTCATCTGTGAAGAAGGGCTGCTGTCCCAACTTGGCTGGGCTGCGGAGTGGACGTGGAGGGTGGGGATGTTAAGGAGTGGTGGCTGTTTCTGACAAACAGCTCAGAGTCACTTAATGAATCCTTTTATAAGAGCAGGCTCTTGTGTAGGGACGCCCAGTCAGACCAATTTTATCCTTTCAAAGGCAAAGACAGGGCTTATGTAAAAGAGGGAAAAAAGCGGGTGTGCTGATTAGCAGGTCATTAGCAAAAAGATGGGCTGGTGGGGGCTCCTCCTGGGGCCCCCTGAGGAGAAGGCCACCACCTCCTGGTGCTTGCTCCAAGCCTTCCAGGCCCTTCCCACAGATCCTCTCCCTCACCAGACTCCCTGGCTCCCAGCGGCCTGGGAGAGGCGCATCAGCCGGCTCTGGGCCGGGATCACTGCACAGCCTGGGGCGGGCTCAGCTGCTGTCTGGGGAGCTCAGCACCTGTCTGGCCTTCCGTGTGGCTCAACCTCAGGCCTTCTCTGGTCTCCCTCCAGCCCCGGAGCCGCTCAAGCTGGACCCTGCCACCGCCCACCCGCTCCTGGAGCTCTCCAAGGGTAACACCGTGGTACAGTGTGGGCTCCTGGCCCAGCGGCGCGCCAGCCAGCCTGAGCGCTTCGACTACAGCACCTGTGTCCTGGCTAGCCGGGGCTTCTCCTGTGGCCGCCACTACTGGGAGGTGGTGGTGGGCAGCAAGAGCGACTGGCGTCTGGGGGTCATCAAGGGCACAGCCAGCCGCAAGGGCAAGCTGATCAAGTCCCCCGAGCACGGTGTGTGGCTGATAGGCCTGAAGGAGGGCCGGCTGTACGAGGCCTTTAGCTGCCCGCGCGTGCCCCTGCCCGTGGCCGGCCAGCCCCACCGCGTCGGGGTCTACTTGCACTACGAGCAGGGGGAGCTCACCTTCTTCGACGCCGACCGCCCGGAGGACCTGCGGCCGCTCTACACCTTCCAGGCAGACTTCCAGGGCAAGCTCTATCCCATCCTGGACCTGCGCTGGCATGAGCGTGGCAGCAACTCCCTCCCCTTGGTGCTGCCCCCACCCAGTGGGCCTGGCCACCTCGCCCCGCAGCGGCCCCCCAAGACGCAGGGACGCCCTGCTGCTCCCTGCCCACAGGCCCATCTCGCAGGGCCCTGAGACTGGGTTCCCGCGGTGACCCCCTCGCTTCCTGGAAGATCTTCACGCCTGCATGAAGGTAGCAGGGGTCGTGGCCTCTTCCCTGTCATCCAGGGTTAGCAGGCCAGCCTGGGAGTCCCTGAGTCCCACTGAGCAGCTGTCCCTCCGGTACTCCTCCAGCAGAGGGCGGAAGCGCTTCATCATCTGCGGGAACTTAAAGCATCTATTAATGATAATAAATTCTTCTCTCTTTAAATGGGCTGTATTGGTCGTTCGTATTGCCAAGTGCGCAAGTCTTTTTCTTTTTTGTGTGTTTTGTGGGTGCTGTACATTTAACCCAGGGTGATTTACCTCCTCAGCCCTTTTTGTATTTTTAAGAGAGGGTCTCCCTAAGTTGTTGAAGATGTCCTCAGAACTTTCATTGCTCCTGTCTCAGCCTCTCTAGTTGCTGGAATCATGCTAAGCAGTTCACCTGCAGCCCTGCCTGGTTTGAGTCCACAGGATGTTCTATTCCCTAGCAAACAGCCTTTTATCTGCAGGAGAAATGCAGGCCCAAAATGCCAAAAAAAGGAACTTAAGTGACCCCAAAGTGGGGAGACTTTTGTGACAGACCAGATCCAGAACTTGGGGAGATAAGGGTAATCTCCCCTTACCATAGTCTGTGAACAGGTTCCAATTAGAACTGGTCAGCATGGGCCCAAGAGACCTAGTTATCCAGGCACAGTGGGCACTTGAACAAGACATGCCCCCTGATGTCTTTCAGCTGTCAGAAGTCAACAGGTGGGCCTGGTCATGACTCTGGAAACTTCCTGAGACCCCTGATAAACGAGGGCAGATGGGGTGTATCATCTTTCTCCAGAGAGGACCTACTCTTAAAGCTACGTGTCTGAAATCTTTCTGGTAGGATTGCAAGAACTAGGATGAAGAGGGACCTCTGCTCCGTAACAACCTGAACCTGGAGGGTCCACATCCTAGCTCTGGGGTCATGGTGGGTCCCACTGGAGAGAATATCAGGTTCTCTGAGCCACAGCTACCTGGGGCTGCCAGGGCCTTCCCGGCCATTATGTGGAAAATGCCCGTTGAAAATGAAGCGTTGAGTATACATAGAGGAAAATAGGACAATTAACACAGACGTATAAGCAAACACATTTGATCAGATTTTAATTTGAAAGCTTGTTGGTAACATTTGTGTCCCTAGATCTAGCCATGCCTGAAATAAATTACCCCCATCTCTGGGAATTCCTATTTGTATGAGCAAATAATCATCCTCCCCTTTTTGTTTGCTTTAATTGGCTACAATTCTGTCCCTTGCAGCCAAAGCAGTCCTGACCAAAGGGGAGGTCCCGTTGATACTGAGCAAGAGACCCTAGGCCTCATCCTTTGGGACAGCTGACAGGGAGCTGTGGCCTTTCTCTTCCACATGCAGCAGTAGGCAAGCACCTGCAGAAGCTGCCAACGAGCTTTGGCTCCGTTCGACTTCCATGCCCTCCGCTGCCCACTCTTCTGCAGTAGGGGATTTGCAATTAGTTGTTTGATATCGGATCCGTTTGTGCTCTTTTACATTGTTATCATGTGCTTCCCCCCAATCCTGGGGATGGACCCAGGGGTGCTGTTCGACTGAGCTGCATCCTGAACTCTGTTTCAGACAGTTTCATTAAGTGGCTGAGGCTTTCCTGGAACTTGTGATCCTCTGTGTTAGGTCCTTAGGCCAAAGTAACTCCATTTGAAAATCAGCACCTGCCCACCCAGGCATGACCTTCCCAGTAGGTCCACCCCTAAAGAGTCCCTAACTCCTGGGTGATAAACCCAGCCTAAGATTGGGAGCCATCTCCTCACAAAGGCATGAAAAGTTAATTTTGGCTTTACTATAAATTACTGCGATTTCTAAACTTGCTTGGAATGCCTGCCCTGCCTTGAACTCACCCATGCCTGGCTTTCCCTGACAGATAACAGCCCTTTCTGAAACTCTAGTGGTGCCTCATAAATTCTGACGTTGGGATTAAATTTTACTCCCTAAGTGCTGGACCATTAACCTATTACCTGCCTTTGTGTTATGCTTGTCAAAATCCTGTTATCTGTAAGTTCTCAAGACATCCCCCCACTTTTTGCAACTTTCTTTGCTATAAAGCTGTGCTCCTAAAGAGCTGGGGTGCTGTCTTCTATCCCACGGTTTTCAGGAGAGAAAGAGGGTCGGAATTACAAGCTTGCTTTAATTTGATTTCAATTGGAGTTGGTGGTCTTTTCTTTGCAGTGTGGTTTAACACTGGGACCACAACAAAGACGCCAAGTGACAATCACAGGACCTGGGGTTATTTTTTAACTACTGCATCGTAGGTGACTGTGTAGTTAATTTTTCTCCCCCGAGCAGGCTGCTGCGCTTGGCAGAAAGGCAGCCTAGAGATATTGCCCATCAATCCACCTTTGCTTGAGCCGTGTCTGGAGGGAGTTCTGCGATCGCTGCCTAGCACTCCGCGGCCTGAGCCCCAGGCACCGGGAGCCCAGGCGCACATCCCACACCCCGTGAGTAGGTCTTGACTGCAGCAAGACACTGGTCTAGAAGGCGGGGAGGCTAGGAAACAACCACCTCCGGGAGAAAAGGAGAGCAGCGGCCCCTTTCTTCTACTGTGCCCTATAGCCCTACACAGCAACACCAGGCCCTGTTAACCCCACAAAACCCGGAGCCTTGATGTCGCAGTCTCTCCATTTTGCCTTAAAAACCTGCTCCTCCGTTGCTTGGGACCCTTTGGGGTCGGCCTGCATTTGTTCCCTGTCGCAGCCTCTCGGCTGGGTCGGTGTGGAGACAGAGATGCCCTGGGGTGAACGGGGCGGTGACCAAGACAGCGGCCTGGCACAGTAGGACCAGGCACGGGGGTGACGGGGCGGTGCCGCGGGAAGACCTCCGTAGTGAGCGGGGAGTTCCGGCAGGCTAACGCTCCCGAGAACATCGGGCCGCAAGTCCCCTCCCTTCCCTTTCGGTTTTCTTCCCTTCCCTCGGTGCCGCGGAGGGGCGCGCGCGACCGCCGGGCTAAGGCAGCGTGTGCTCTTTGACCCCGGAAGTGGTGGCGGCGGGCGCTAAGCCGGCAGCGCGTTGCGACAGAGCCGTAAAGGCGCGCGGGCGCGGCAGCATGGCATTGTATGCGGCC